AAGGGTTAAGTATTTAAAAGCATTAATAAAGTGATAATTGCATACGGCATGATGTAACGAGTGTTACAGAAAAATAGGCTGGCTACCTAGCTTGTGACGTCATCAGTGGAGGTTGCCTCACGCAAATAATATCGATGATACAAGGCTCCTTTCTCTTATTGGACTCGATTATTCAGTAAGATGGAAATTTCTGTCGTGTACAAAACGAAGATGTTGTGTTTGAAATAAAGATATTGTTGTGCAAAAAGACGTATTTCTTAGTTTGCATTTAGTTTATAGAAAGAGTGTTGGCATTACCAGCAACAGCCAATCACAAGAAGGTATTTGCTAAAAGTTAGTCTCATTATTGAGGTCCTCAGGAGCGACACACAGATCTAGCTTATGGCTTTCTGTTTCGTCTCTTGTATATAAAAAAATATGAATATTTCGATTACTATGATTATTAAAAGTACGAGATATAACAGTTGTGACACAAAATAGCTAAAGTTTGCCATTAAAAAGAGATCATAGTGGATTTTGTAATAGTTTTATGGAAAGCTTGTTATACAATTTTTCTAAATATCTTCTGATATGGGTGTTGACTTCTCAATTTGTGTACCTAATACTTGAAGGCTTCTTTCCAGTTCCTTGTAGATTTTATACCAGTCAGGACAAAGAGTAAGGGCTCTGAGTATACTTGCGTTTATTACACTATTCATAAATCTGTCTGACCATTCATACACATTCCAGTGTTGGTGGGTTTAGTATAATCTTCTGTGGTGCTCATTGTTGCTCTTGTTCCTTTCTTTATCAGCCATGTCCCCCAAGTCTTCATTTCTAGGAAAGAGACACTCCACAATCTCTTCTTTTTCATTGGTATTTTGTATTTTATTGTCGTGGCTCCAATTCATCTCTTTTCTCCACCACATAACTCACATATGTACAGCTTGAGAAGCAAATATTAGAGACCAAAAATAAATAAGTTTGCCATGAAAGTTAAGAACAACCAAAAGAAATAATAAATAATGATGTCTGTCAAATGTAAAAAAAAAAAAACGTACTTGTCAGTGTTTTACTGTCAACGTTTATCAAGTGTTTTATTACTTGTCAACATAATAAAACACTGGTAAACGTTGGCAATAATGCACCCGCCAAACCGCTGTTTATGAATGGAAAACTGTTTACACACGACTCACACCTGATGACGTCCGAACACTTCCGGAGCAAGTGCTTCACTGACAAATTTTGTTCGAACCACAACGATGTAAATGTCAGCCCGTCCTCCAAACAAAGATCCAAAAGTGATTCCATGCACCTGCCAAATCAATGTTTATGGATGACAAACGGTTTACACACAAGTTCAAGTTCAAGTATGTTTATTGAGACAAGAAAGAAATACATCTCACACGACTCACAACTGATGACGTCCGAACACTTCCGGAACAAGTGTTTCACTGACACATTTTGTTCGAACCACAACACTGTAAATGCTTCACCCATGTACTGCAAATACAAATAATCGTCAACAGAACCTAAAGACCTAACCTAACCTAACCTAACCTAACCAACAAACATAAATATACACACACACACCGTCGAAGCTGCAGTAAAAATATTCAACCAAACTTTAGGAATAATGGGAAGAACCTTTGACTTGTAGGTAAATAAAGTGACTCTCCAACTGTATAAGTGTATGGTGTACACCCAAGTGTATGGTATACACCCAAGTGTATGGCATACACCCAAGTGTATGGTATACACCCAAGTGTATGGTATACACCCAAGTGTATGGTATACACCCAAGTGTATGGTATACACCCAAGTGTATGGTATACACCCAAGTGTATGGCATACACCCAAGTGTATGGTATACACCCAAGTGTATGGTATACACCCAAGTGTATGGCATACACCCAAGTGTATGGTATACACCCAAGTGTATGGTATACACCCAAGTGTATGGTATACACCCAAGTGTATGGTATACACCCAAGTGTATGGTATACACCCAAGTGTATGGCATACACCCAAGTGTATGGTATACACCCAAGTGTATGGTATACACCCAAGTGTATGGTATACACCCAAGTGTATGGTATACACTCAAGTGTATGGTATACACCCAGCTGGGCTACTGAATCACAGTATGGAGGCGTCGCCTTCAAAAGAACAATTTTGGACAGAGATGGAGAGACTTCCTCTCACAGGATGAGTATGGGGTGCACAATAACTTACCTCTCACAGGATGAGTATGGGGTGCACAATAACTTACCCCTCACAGGATGAGTATGGGGTGCACAATAACTTACCTCTCACAGGATGAGTATGGGGTGCACAATAACTTACCCCTCACAGGAGGAGTATGGGGTGCACAATAAACTACCCCTCACAGGAGGAGTATGGGGTGCACAAGAAACTACCCCTCACAAGATGAGTATGGGGTGCACAATAAACTACCCCTCACAGGAGGAGTATGGGGTGCACAATAAACTACCCCTCACAGGAGGAGTATGGGGTGCACAATAAACCAGCCGTCACTGGCAGTAAGAACCAAATCAATAGGTATCGAGAACGAGTAAATTACAACCAAACAAAATACTTATCATGAAGTTAAAAAAAAAGCTAAAAATCTATAAGAGTGACGTCAAGGGCTTGGAGGCTTGCTATTGGCCACCCGCCTCCGGCCGAGGGCTCCTGGAGGGTATATAAGGACCTGCAGGCGGGAATTCTGGCAGATCCTTCCTGGAAACTCTCAGTTGCTGACAATTTGGGTCGTAACTCTTCAGCGCCAAAGTTAAGGTACGTCCAAGACACTGTTCCCTGGCTTCAATTTGATGATTTTTTTTCGGTTTAAAGGAGGCATTTTTTATGGTTATTGGTATTCCATTGAGAAGTTGTTGTTGTGTTAGCGTCTGGGAGATGTGTGTGTGTGTGTCTGCTCTGTGTGGAAGGGCCTTACAGTTTGAGTGTATTAATTCTGCCCTGTTGAAAGAGGTTCTGCTGCTGTTTGATAAGTGCTTGGAACCGGTCGGCCGGTGGGGGAGCCGGTCGGCCGAGCGGACAGCACGCTGGATTTGTGATCCTGTGGTCCTGGGTTCGATCCCAGGCGCCGGCGAGAAACAATGGGCAGAGTTTCTTTCACCCTATGCCCCTGTTACCTAGCAGTAAAATAGGTACCTGGGTGTTAGTCAGCTGTCACGGGCTGCTTCCTGGGGGTGGAGGCCTGGTCGAGGACCGGGCCGCGGGGACACTAAAAAGCCCCGAAATCATCTCAAGATAACCTCAAGATAACCTCTATCATAACTAACGGTCCAATCATGGCTCTCCGGATGTGCTCGGGGCGTCAGACAACGAGCAGCTCTTGTTAATGTGGCCGACTACTTAGTTACCAAGACAAGGAGCTGGACGGGAATAAGGTCACGGAAAGTGAAGACCTGGAAGGATGTGTCCAGTGAGAGGCAGGAGGAGGAAGAGTGTTATGGTCAGACAACTTCAACACTTCCACGATGTATTCTGACCTTGGCAACATTTGCCTCAAGTTTCATACAACATTATTGTATTTTATTTTTTACCCAGTTAGTTATTCAATGAATTGAGTGTCAGTTTAGGGAGAGAGTGCTGGCGCCTTATACATAAGGAAACCTCTGGATGCAGGAGAAAGAAACAGTTAAGAGGAATTGAGAAGGTTCCCGCGTCTGTAGTGTTCCTGTAAGATGTTAGTAAGTGGTCGAGGTCAACCTTGTTGAGTCTGGGGTCACGAGCGAGTGTTAAGACGCTATGAATTAACTTTGACTGTGATAATTGCCGTAGTATCCGTTCTCCCAATATTTCTGAAGTTAACTTCTGAGTTTAGCAGAAATATGTGCATGGTTGCAATATGGCATGGTTGTAATATGGCTTGGTTGCAATGAGTACATGGTTGTAATGTGTGCATGGTTGCAATATTGCATGGCTGTAATGTGTGCATTGTTGTAGTGTTGTGGTTGTTACAGGTGCCACTGGTGATGGTAGGGGAGCGTGTGGGTGGGGCAGCCCTGCTACTGGTGGTCGCCAGCGGCGTCTCTTTGGTCCAGCTTTCTTGTGGCCTCAGACATGACCTTCCTGGCCACCAGGTCCTCCCTCTACACCCCACACTGTGAGTACTCTCCCCCTCTACACCCCACACTGTGAGTACTCTCCCCCTCTACACCCCACACTGTGAGTACTCTCCCCCTCTACACCCCACACTGTGAGTACTCTCCCCCTCTACACCCCACACTGTGAGTACTCTCCCCCTCTACACCCCACACTGTGAGTACTCTCCCCCTCTACACCCCACACTTTGAGTACTCTCCCCCTCTACACCCCACACTGTGAGTACTCTCCCCCTCTACACCCCACACTGTGAGTACTCTCCCCCTCTACACCCCACACTGTGAGTACTCTCCCCCTCCACACCCCACACTGTGAGTACTCTCCCCCTCTACACCCCACACTGTGAGTACTCTCCCCCTCTACACCCCACACTGTGAGTACTCTCCCCCCTCTACACCCCACACTGTGAGTACTCTCCCCCTCCACACCCCACACTGTGAGTACTCTCCCCCTCTACACCCCACACTGTGAGTACTCTCCCCCTCTACACCCCACACTGTGAGTACTCTCCCCCTCTACACCCCACACTGTGAGTACTCTCCCCCTCTACACCCCACACTGTGAGTACTCTCCCCCTCCACACCCCACACTGTGAGTACTCTCCCCCTCCACACCCCACACTGTGAGTACTCTCCCCCTCCACACCCCACACTGTGAGTACTCTCCCCCTCTACACCCCACACTGTGAGTACTCTCCCCCTCTACACCCCACACTGTGAGTACTCTCCCCCTCTACACCCCACACTGTGAGTACTCTCCCCCTCTACACCCCACACTGTGAGTACTCTCCCCCTCTACACCCCACACTGTGAGTACTCTCTCCCTCTACACCCCACACTGTGAGTACTCTCCCCCTCTACACCCCACACTGTGAGTACTCTCTCCCTCTACACCCCACACTGTGAGTACTCTCCCCCTCTACACCCCACACTGTGAGTACTCTCATCATCTCTACACTTATCGTCTACTCCAGTATTCACCTTAAGTGTCATGACTCTCCCTAAGAGCACTCCGCCCTTGCTAACAAAACTAATAATATAAATATCACCTTGGAGCCCAGATGCTCCACCATTATACACTGTTCTTAACGCCTTCGTGGCCCGTGTTTCTCGCAGGCTGTCTGGCGTCGTCTCTCTAACCCACGAGGACCAAGATGGCCGAGTTTTCCTCAACTCTGATGGCGGCCAAACTCTTCGGGACTTGAGCCCTGGACGCCTCCAGCACACAAGGAAGTCGGAAGACCTGTCTGAAGGCCTTAGTGGGGACCATGTTGACACTCGTCCTCAAGCTCCATGGCTTGGCCATCGACTTGTTAAGCAACGACGAACTGAAGGTCGACAGCAAGTCGAGTCTCGCCATACTGAAAGTCGAAGACATGATGCCCGATTAGCTGAGGGTCGTAGAGTTGACGCCAGACTAGTTGAGCACCGACGACTTGACGTCAGACTAGTTAAACATCGTCAAGATGACGCCCGACTAGTTGAAGGTCGTCGAGTTGACGCCAAAGTTGTCGAGAGTCGTCGAGTTAACGTCCAACTAGCAGACAGTCGGGGCACTAATGCCCGATCAGATGAGAGACAACTCTTTTCCCATAAAGCCAGGCAGGAACGACTAGATACTCGACAAGACAGTACACGCCTGGACACGAGGACTCCTGGAGCAACTTATCTTCACAGGAAGAGGTCCACTGAAACTATGCTACTTGACACAAGGAGGGCCAGTGACGCTCGTCTTGACACGAGGAAGGTCAGTGACGCTCGTCTTGACTCAAGGAAAGCCAGTGACGCTCGTCTTGACGCAAGGAGGGCCAGTGACGCTCGTCTTGACACAAGGAGGGCCAGTGACGCTCGTCTTGACTCAAGGAAAGCCAGTGACGCTCGTCTTGACACAAGGAGGGCCAGTGACGCTCGTCTTAACACAAGGAGGGTCAGTGACGCTCGTCTTGACACGAGGAAGGTCAGTGACGCTCGTCTTGACTCAAGGAAAGCCAGTGACGCTCGTCTTGACGCAAGGAGGGCCAGTGACGCTCGTCTTGACGCAAGGAGGGCCAGTGACGCTCGTCTTGACACAAGGAGGGCCAGTGACGCTCGTCTTGACACGAGGAAGGTCAGTGACGCTCGTCTTGACTCAAGGAAAGCCAGTGACGCTCGTCTTGACGCAAGGAGGGCCAGTGACGCTCGTCTTGACACAAGGAGGGCCAGTGACGCTCGTCTTGACTCAAGGAAAGCCAGTGACGCTCGTCTTGACGCAAGGAGGGCCAGTGACGCTCGTCTTGACACAAGGAGGGCCAGTGACGCTCGTCTTGACTCAAGGAAAGCCAGTGACGCTCGTCTTGACACAAGGAGGGCCAGTGACGCTCGTCTTAACACAAGGAGGGTCAGTGACGCTCGTCTTGACACGAGGAAGGTCAGTGACGCTCGTCTTGACTCAAGGAAAGCCAGTGACGCTCGTCTTGACGCAAGGAGGGCCAGTGACGCTCGTCTTGACACAAGGAGGGCCAGTGACGCTCGTCTTGACTCAAGGAAAGCCAGTGACGCTCGTCTTGACACAAGGAGGGCCAGTGACGCTCGTCTTGACACAAGGAGGACCAGTGACGCTCGTCTTGACGCAAGGAAAACCAGTGACGCACGTCTTGACACAAGGAGGGCCAGTGACGCTCGTCTTGACGCAAGGAGGGCCAGTGACGCTCGTCTTGACGCAAGGAGGGCCAGTGACGCTCGTCTTGACGCAAGGAAGCCCAGTGACGCTCGTCTTGACGCAAGGAAGCCCAGTGACGCTCGTCTTGACGCAAGGAGGGACAGTGACGCTCGTATTGACGCAAGGAAAGCCAGTGACGCTCGTCTTGGCGCAAGGAAAGCCAGTGACGCTCGTCTTGACGCAAGGAGGGGCAGTGACGCTCGTCTTGACGCAAGGAAGCCCAGTGACGCTCGTCTTGACGCAAGGAGGGTCAGTGACGCTCGTCTTGACGCAAGGAGGGCCAGTGACGCTCGTCTTGACGCAAGGAGGGCCAGTGACGCTCGTCTTGACACAAGGAGGGCCAGTGACGCTCGTCTTGACACAAGGAAGGCCAGTGACGCTCGTCTTGACACAAGGAGGGTCAGTGACGCTCGCCTTGACGCAAGGAGGGCCAGTGACGCTCGTCTTGACGCAAGGAGGGCCGGTGACGCTCGTCTTGACGCAAGGAGGGTCAGTGACGCTCGTCTTGACGCAAGGAGGGCCAGTGACGCTCGTCTTGACGCAAGGAGGGCCAGTGACGCTCGTCTTGACGCAAGGAGGGCCAGTGACGCTCGTCTTGACACAAGGAGGGTCAGTGACGCTCGTCTTGACGCAAGGAGGGCCAGTGACGCTCGTCTTGACACAAGGAGGGCCAGTGACGCTCGTCTTGACACAAGGAGGGCCAGTGACGCTCGTCTTGATGCAAGGAGCAGTGACTCTCGTCTTGACGCAAGGAGGGCCAGTGACGCTCGTCTTGACGCAAGGAGGGCCAGTGACGCTCGTCTTGACACAAGGAGGGCCAGTGACTCCAGTCTTGACGCAAGGAGGGCCAGTGACGCTCGTCTTGACACAAGGAGGGCCAGTGACTCCAGTCTTGACGCAAGGAGGGCCAGTGACGCTCGTCTTGATGCAAGGAGGAGCAGTGACTCTCGTCTTGACGCAAGGAGGGCCAGTGACGCTCGTCTTGACGCAAGGAGGGCCAGTGACGCTCGTCTTGACGCAAGGAGGGCCAGTGATGCTCGTCTTGACACAAGGAGGGCCAGTGACTCCAGTCTTGACGCAAGGAGGGCCAGTGACGCTCGTCTTGATGCAAGGAGGGGCAGTGACTCTCGTCTTGACGCAAGGAGGGCCAGTGACGCTCGTATTGATGCAAGGAGGAGCAGTGACTCTCGTCTTGACGCAAGGAGGGCCAGTGACGCTCGTCTTGACACAAGGAGGGCCAGTGACGCTCGTCTTGACACAAGGAGGGCCAGTGACTCCAGTCTTGACGCAAGGAGGGCCAGTGACGCTCGTCTTGATGCAAGGAGGAGCAGTGACGCTCGTCTTGACGCAAGGAGGGCCAGTGACGCTCGTCTTGACACAAGGAGAAGCAGTGACGCTCGTCTTGACGCAAGGAGGGCCAGTGACGCTCGTCTTGACACAAGGAGGGCCAGTGACTCCAGTCTTGACACAAGGAGGGTCAGTGACGCTCGTCTTGACACAAAGAGGGCCAGTGACGCACGTCTTGACACAAGGAGGGCCAGTGACGCTCGTCTTGACACAAGGAGGGCCAGTGACGCTCGTCTTGACGCAAGGAGGGCCACTGAAGAAGTATGTCTTGACACAAGGAAAGCTGCTGAAGAGAACACTCTTGATACAAAGACCACCCCCGACACACGTCCTGTTACAAGGAGGGCCACTGACGCTAGGCGGCATGAGACAAGGACAGCCGCTGATGACCGGTACATTACCACAAGCAGGGCCACTCCGGCTAAACATTTTAGCGCGAGGAATACTGAAGAAATACGCTCCGACAGGAGGAGGAACTCGGTGGCTCAGAGTACACAAAGGAAGGTCCCTGGAGTGTTGTCTCTTGGTATGAAGCTCTCAGATGAGTCGCTGGAGGCTGTAATGATCCGTTCCTATCAAGGACATGACTCACGACGCTCTGTAGAAGACATGAGCTTTAAAAACTCGCACGTGAGTATTGGTTTTATCCTGGCAACTTTCCTGTATTATAATTGTAAGTGTTCATAATTTACAATGGTGATGGTAGATGTGACAAACGCGTTAATGGCTTATTCAAAACTAAAACATATTTGAGTGTAAAGTTATTATAATATGTTTTAGGGTTCTTGGTCCCCGGAGTCTGCGGTCTTCCACCTCAGACAAGATGAGACAAAGCAATATAAAGAAGAGAAGTAAGTTGGACTCGTGTTTTACGTTTGTGCATAACTTATAGTACTCGTCTAATATTTAATGTGATGTTTATACTCATAGATACAACTCTTATGTTTATATGTGCATATAAGTTATTATGTGCTGTTCTTAAAGTGAAGTTCTGTTGCAGGAGTTTGGGAGATGTGATGCTGACAGGTCTGTGGACGGGTCTGGCATCTTTGGCTCTGTACCACGCCCACACCTCCAAGGTGGCACTGTGTTGAGTGCCACGCCCACACCTCCAAGGTGGCACTGTGTTGAGTGCCACGCCCACACCTCCAAGGTGGCACTGTGTTGAGTGCCACGCCCACATCTCCAAGGTAGCACTGTGTTGAGTGCCACGCCCACATCTCCAAGGTAGCACTGTGTTGAGTGCCACGCCCACACCTCCAAGGTGGCACTGTGTTGAGTGCCACGCCCACACCTCCAAGGTGGCACTGTGTTGAGTGCCACGCCCACACCCGTCATCGTCAACGTCTCGTCTCTTCACGTCACATTAAGTCATCTGCCTGTCTTATAATGTCAACACTCAGTCGTCAGAAGTGTAGCTGTGTACACTTTGTTAGTAATGTGTCTGTGTATACATAGTGTAGCTGTATGCATCTCCATTCACCGACGTGACTGTGTATACATAGTGTAGCTGTATGCACCTCCATTCACCGACGTGACTGTGTATACATAGTGTAGCTGTATGCACCTCCATTCACTGACGTGACTGTGTATACATAGTGTAGCTGTATGCACCTCCATTCACCGACGTGACTGTGTATACATAGTGTAGCAATGTGCACCTCCATACACTGATGTGTACATGTATATAAATGTATCAAATAACCTGACAGGACACGCTCTCGTTTTCTCTCTTAAACAATAAAGTTCATCCATTCAATAATAATTTTGTCGCTGCTTCCAATTTATAATTTTTACCTCCATTACCACCATTTTAATATTTATATCATAAATGGTTTAAATATGATAACTTGTGCAGATCTTCCGTTGTGCTTCGTGAACCTCATCTGAGTTTTGTGTCAATGTTCATAATAGAGCTCTGCTTAATGACGCATTGAGCTCTGCTTAATGACGCAAGGAGCTCTGCTTCTTGCGTCGCCCAGTTGTACATTGAGTGCTACAGTACCATTCCGGCACTTTTTTATTTATTTTGCCTTGAATAAAGAGGCTAAACAGACATATGTTATTCAGTTACTGTTACTTATACCGCATTAATGAATAAGGTCTCTCACCAAAGTACATAACAAATAAAACTGTAAATCCTTGTCTGTGGATCATTTTCTGAAACGTTGCAGTAACTATTCCGCTGAAAGTGCTTATATATGTGGTGATGGACCACCACAAAGTTGACTTTTGTGTTACTGAATTTGGCCAAATGGGAAACTTTTTTTTATTATTAAATCGCTACATAAAATATAAAATCTAACCTAACCTCTTTTAGCAAATCATAGGCTTAATACACGCCTTACATAATACATATATATGTGTTATATTAGACTTAGGAATGCTTTTTTTTTCCTAGGCTATCCAATTAATAGCACAAAAAACTGGTTTACTGGCAGTCCAACACTACATAGTGATGGTACTTTGGATCAAATAGTTAATCTAATTACTGTCATTTCATGGATTAAGAGTTTTATTGTGTTTGGTTATGAGGGCAGAGGGCTGGGAGGAAGCCTGCCTCCCCCCTCCCACAGCTGGTTTAGAGAGGGTGGGAGGAAGCCCCTCAACACAGCTGGTCATGGACCATCTGAGCGAGGAGACGTCACCATCTGGATCTCGAACCTGGCGACCAGGTGGCCGCGCGTCAAGGCTGCTTTTGTCCGCCCCGCAATACTTGCCGATTGGGCAAGATTTTGTAGTATTAGTGTTTGTATAAAGCACGTGTAAGATTTAAGGGGTATAGTCAGGGTATTTGTGGGTATACTCCCCGTAATTGGGGTATACTCTTTATGTCTAGGGGTATACTCTCCGTACCTGGGGTATACTCTCTGTACCTGGGGGTATACTCTCCGTACCTGGGGTATACTCTCCGTACCTGGGGGTATACTTTCCGTACCTGGGGGTATACTTTCCGTACCTGGGGGTATACGTTCCGTACCTGGGGGTATACTCTCCGTACCTGGGGGTATACTCTCCGTACCTGGGGTATACTCTCTGTACCTAGTATATACTGTACATACCTGAGGTATACGTGCCGTACCTGGCATGTCCTCACTGTACCGAGAGTATACTCGCTATCTGACACATACCCATGGTTGTCAACGAGATCTGCTGGTAGCTTGCACTTCCTTAACACTTCAGGTGCATGTCTGTAGTTAGTCACTGTTCAGAGCATATATTACTGTCTTAATAATAATGATGCCACGCCTATGGACTGTTATTCAACCTGTTTTATACCGATGCAAGATGTATCTATATAATATATTCATCTTGTCACAAGAAGACAATCCAGACACAACAGCACTCGCAGAAACAAAACTCACAGACGTCGTAACAAATGCAGTGTTTCTGCGGGAATACTATATAGTAAGAAATACACTATGAGAAGATAGACAGGGAGAACAGAGACCCACATGCAGGACCCCATACCAGCTAAACTACTAGACGTGGCAACATTAGCCACATCTAATGCTTGTTGCATTAGTAAACATTAGCTGCAGATGTTGTGTGTGTGTGTACCATCTTCCCAGGGAAGCTTTGCCTGGGGCCATCCACCCAGCTCCCCACCTCTTCCAGATCGCTGCCAGCAGCAGCAGCAGCAGCAGCAGCATCAGTAGCAGCAGCAGCAGCAGCAGTAGTAGTACTAGCGCTAGTAGGAGTTACATTAGTATAGCTGCAAAGTAGTAATGATGGCACTATAGTTCCATATTAATGAGTTTTAAGCTGTCAAGATTAAACTTACGTGTCTATGATATTTTCCCTGTTTACTGAATAGTTATTACGCTGGTGGGAGTAATCTCTATGCTACACTTCTTTATCTAAGATAAAGGTTATAGATACCAACTGATGTATGGCTCGTTGCCACATGGTTTGGTGAACGACGGGACGCTGGGGGGGGGGGGGGAGGGAGTTGCATTGGTCACCACTTATGACTTGATGACTGATCAGGTTATCATCTTGGTGATTAGCAATAATGTGGTGATTAGGAAGTAGAGTCTTTAGTTTGGTGGCTAGTTAAGCACTCCATTATCGTCAGTAAACTGCCTTGATCATGACAGGTGGTGATGGTGGCGAGCCAGATGGACCTTCCCTTCCTCACAGTATCCAGCTGGTCCTTCCCTTCCTCACAGTATCCAGCTGGTCCTTCCCTTCCTCACAGTATCCAGCTGGTCCTTCCCTTCCTCACAGTAGCCAGCTGGTCTTCCCCTCCTCACAGTAGCCAGCTGGTCTTCCCCTCCTCACAGTAGCCAGCAGGTCTTCCCCTCCTCACAGTAGCCAGCTGGTCTTCCCCTCCTCACAGTAGCCAGCTGGTCTTCCCCTCCTCACAGTAGCCAGCTGGTCTTCCCCTCCTCACAGTAGCCAGCTGGTCTTCCCCTCCTCACAGTAGCCAGCTGGAACTGGGGTGACGTTTGCGTTCTTACCCAGCTGTCAGGGATGCCACTGAAGGTATACCCCATTACTCAGTGTAAATACACTGCGGGTTTACTTTCATCTTGGACTATGTATACTCGCTTGGATGTACAGTAAGCTTTTATGGTTTCTAGCTCACCACTCAGTGGTTGGTTAGGTCTTAAACCCAACACCGACGAAGTCCAGCTCCCGGGATCCGGCACTTTAGGAACTGTTACAATGACTCTCGAGTCCCCCTGAGCTTTATCTTATCATTGGGAAATATGTGCTGGAGTTTACCTCCACCTCCTGTTCCACCTCCTCCTCCTCTTCCACCTCCAGACCACACTACACCTTCTCACAACTCTGAATACCGAAGGAACTTCTCTTCTCATTCGTCTCATCGTCAAAATTAACGCGAAAATTGGACAGGTGTTGATTAAATTTGTGTCCCGTTATTTATTAACATATTTTACAATAATTGATTTGATTGCAAATAGGAAATATGCGAGGATACTTTAGCCTACGTATGTATACCTTGCACGATTTATTTAAATAATTCCATGTAGTAAGAGTGAGTCACAGATAGTGTGGAGCTGGAGAGGTGAGAGGAGGGGAGAGGGGGGGGGGCGGAATGTTAGGGAGGGGGAGGTGAGGGGGGGAAGTGAGGGGAGGGGAGGGAGGTGAGATGATAGTAGGGTGAATGGTGAGGTGGAGGGGGATTGATGAGGGAGGTTTGGGAGGTGATGTGGGAAGAGTGAAGGGGGCTAGGAGGTTAGGACGCAGGAGAGAGAGGGGAGGGGGATGGTCAGGTGTTGGGTGGGGGGGGCGTAGCTGAGGAAGGTCACGCTGGAGGTGTCGAGGCCCAGCTGATAAAGCCCACATATCTATAGCATGACCCGGCTGATAACCAGAGCAGTAATGGTAGTGTGGAGTACTTCCCTCACCCTCCCTGCCGCCGCCCTCACTCTCCCCACACTTCCACACCCACCTCGAGTAGTACCTCCAGAGTGTCTTTAAGCCTGATGAAGCTGTAACTCGGGAAGAAAAACGAACCAATAAGAAGTGTCAGGAGCCAGACATGAACAGCTGCACCTGAGTGGGCCTCAGATAAGGAGCCAGACCGCACCAGATACACCTGTGCATTCCTCGTGAGACAGGAAGAGTGCCAAGCAGTGGTGCCATGGTGACGTGGATCGTCAGGAGCGCCTCCTGAAGTGTGGAATATTGCTGTGAACAGACGAGCAATGTTGAGGCGTGAGTCACTAGTGGACTGACCGCACAAGCCACAGTTTAAGTGTGGATATTGTGGCAAAATCAGTGTGTTCCTTGATCTAGAGTAAGAGATTGAAGCACACGAGATGCAGTAGAAAATATTTTAAAAAGTATAACCCCCCAAAAAAAGACGTCGGGAAAGCGTTCGTGTGATGTGGGAGAAAGCTTTCGCTAAGAAGTGTGTGTGACGTAAGGAACAATTTCGTTAAGAAGTGTGAGGCGGAGGGTAAGATTTGCTTAAGAAGTGTGTGCGAAGAATTCATTAGGAAGTGCGTGTCTGAGAGAAAGCTTTCGTTAAGAGGCGTTTAACGAAAACGCCAGCGGATGAATCCGGAGGCGTGGAGGAGGGCGATGTAGAGTGTGGAGGGAGGCGCAGCAGCAGGATGGTCAACGCCGGGGCGGTGGCAGGCGGCGGCCTGCGCGGTGATCCCTCCGTCAGCAGGCCGCGGGCCAGCGTCTTCAGGCGCGTCCTCACCACCGTCGGCATAGTCTCTAAAGGTGCGTACCGGTCATCAGGTGTGGAGGAGAGGGACCAAAAGGTCGCTCAGGGGTCACTACTCGGGGTCACAACCCAGGGTCATCATCAGGGGTCACCACATTTACTCTTAGCTGGAGTTAAAGCTAGGATGGACTACGTAGCAGTAGGTGTGTTAATGGGAGGTCACGTGTCAGCCCTGGGAGACCATCATGGGAGGCCGTGACCACACATGCCCGCGATGTAATTGCCTGAAAACACATTGTTGTGGCGCTAAATTATTCCTTGTTGTTGCACTCGTGTGTATGTGTGTGTCCTCACCTAGTGCCACCTTGTGCCACTCACCTAGTGTGTGTGTGCGTGCGCCTGCGTACTCTCATGGTGCACAAGCGATTGCTCTGAGTGGCAAGAATTTTCTTGCAAGTGATGCTTAGAAACTCTGACTAACCGGCTTACCGGTCTCTGCCGTCAGTTATGGTGTTGCTGTCCTCGTAGACGGACTCAGCGGGACGGCAACAAAAGCTGGATGTCAAAGCCTCAGAATCAGCTATATCTCGCTACACAGGCAGATGACTTTTAAATTCAGCTCTTCTGTCTTTTGCCTGAAAGTTCTTTGGTACAATGACTCAATCCACGTGAGCGTTTTCACTTCTACATCTGAATTAATGATGGGAGTTAACATCCAACATTGACTCTTGTAGCATGTTTACCTTGCACACTGCGCACTTGCTGAAGAAATACGCCCTGATGTCTCTCTTGACAGATCTGTGTTTGCAGTTGTGTCCTAGACCAGGGGTGGAGAACCTGCGGCATTCAGGTCGCATGCGGCCTTTTTATGGTGCTCGGTGCGGTCTCCGTAAGCAATTGAATATTCATGTGAAATCCTAGTAAAACCTTGCATAGTGATCAATAGTATTATAACACAATCCAATTGAAAACTTGTAATGCTTTAATAGTTATAGACATGAAAATCGAAGAACTTTTTCCCCAATGTACAAAACCTATTAAAATGAAGTCGTCGGAATATTTCTACCTTAACAAGATCACAACTCGTTAAACGACAATGTTAGATTCCTTAGAAACACGTTTTGAAATGTTTGTTCATTAACAACGAGCGACTTTTTCTCCCTCGCCTCAATATAATTAAACACATTTTGTAAAATTAGTGATACTTATAATTCATAGCTGAACATATGCCTTTCATTATCAGTCGAAAATACTTTAATAACCTTCATAGAAAAACACGCTACACACCGTAAAATATAAAACCTAATTTTTGGGGGGTTTAAATAAAAACTATAAAAACATTCAATTGGATATGAAATATGGGGCACCACTATAATTTAAAACAAAAGAGGAGCACCACAAAATTTTGTTTCAAGAATTGTTTTATAAAAAAACAATGCATTAGAATATTTACATAAAATATAGATTATCCAGCAGGTAATATAGATGCTTATAGCAAAGCTTTCGTGCCTTGGGTTTACATCCACTCCACTAATGTGTTTGAGGTCCTTCTCTACGTATCGTCATATATCCTGGAGGACATGCATCCTTACTGCATTCAACTTCCTCGTTTTGCATCCGGAAGTCGGCCCAGGAGACACGCACTAATCTGATACCTTTCTTTACAAGACCAGAGCCGTCTCACAGTTAAATGACTAAACGCCCTGAAGACTCTACAACACATTTTAGCCCTGACCCGTCTATACCACCACACTAACTCTCCCACTGTCACCAGAGGCAGTGCCACTCACTCTCCCATTGTCACCAGAGGAACGGCTGGTGGCTGCAGCGGACGTGGGGGATGTCTCGGCGGTGTCGGGGCTGCTGAGCTCTGGCGCCGACGTCAACTGGCAGAACAGCCATGGGGAGAGTGCCCTCATGTACGCTGCTTGGCGGGGGCACGAGGCAGTGGTTGCCTCCATACTCCAGCACCCCGCCACTCACGTCAACCTCCAGGTCAGTGCTCACTCCCAATGTCACTCTCCAGGTCAGTGCCAAGTCAATGACCCAAGCAATTGTGTCCTCACGACCGCGTTCAGAGGGAAACATTTATTGGGGATTTGTGAACCCGTTCCCATGTGTTACTGGTCAGTATCACGTTGCACAAAGTGAGCTTGTTTTGTTTTACCTATAACATCACTGTGGATGGTTCTGTGTCAGAGTAACATGTGGAATGACTCTGAGTTTCATGAACCAGCTAAACACTAATTTAGCAAGCAATGAAACGAGGATATGAATTGGCGTTGCCGTTGCATTGAGGCAATCATAATTAGAAATATTGTCATACCTGCTGAAGGGAAGAAACACGATTGTCGAGTCTCTGTAAACCCGAATATTAAGATAGTAGCTTTTTATTTCAGGATAACGATGGATGGACGGCGCTGCTGTGGGCATCCCACGGAGGTCACACTGGCGTGGTGCGGCTCTTCATGGTGCACCCAGACACGGAGCCTGACCTCTCTAACAATGCCGGCGAGACAGCCCTCATGAAGGCTTCCGTTTTCGGCCACGAGAGCGTTGTCAGGCAACTTACTGGCTCCTACCGCACCTCGCTGGACAAACACCATCCCGACGGCTCCACGGCTTTGCTGTGGGCGGCGGCGGGGGGCAATGTTGGCTGTGTCACATTTCTGCTTGATGAAAATGCCAGTCTGGACACAACTGACAAAGATGGCATGGATGCCCTCATGTGGGCCGTGTCTGTGGGGCAGACAGAGACAACAGAACTGCTGGTAAGGCGCGGAGCAAACCTTTCCAGGAGGGATAAAATTGGTCGCTCTCCATTACTTATGGCGGCGGAGACAGGTCATGCAGAGGTGGCCAACATTCTGCTCCAACACGATGGTACTGACATCAATCTTTGCACGAAAGACAAAGTGACGCCTCTCATGCGCGCAGCTGAACACGGCCACTCGGTAATCGTCAACATGCTCTGCAAATGCCGCGACATAGACGTTAACATGCAGGATGGTCAGGGCCGGTCAGCGCTCATATTTGCGTCGCGCTCTGGTCATGCAGACTGTTGCTATATCCTCCTTCACCACCCAAGTATTGACCCCAATCAATGTGACTTGGAGGGGCTTTCTCCAGCCATGATGGCGGCCACAGCCGGACATGAAGAGGTTTTAGCAGCACTTCTGTCGCACCGCGAGATCTGCATCTCTACTAAGTCCAGAAATGGTTTCACAGCCTTTATCCTGTCCGCTCGCAGTGGCCAACGAACCATCGTCCAGAGGTTGCTTGCACACCCCGAAGTAGACATTAATGAGAGGGACGGAAACGGAATGACTGCCCTTGCATGGTCGGCTAGGAACGGCGCGGTACATGTCGTGGAACTCCTGCAGCAGTACCAGTCGCTTCAGCCCAACATACCAGACGAAGATGGATTAACTCCCATTATGTGGGCAGCAAGAAACAACCAGCTACTTGCAGTAAAGACCCTGTTAAGAGATTCACGTAACGACATAGACGCTAAGGATAAAGACGGTCGCACGGCTCTAACTTGGGCCAAATTACAGTATAACAAGGATATAGAGCAGTTGCTCACACGGTATGGACAACTAGCGTCAACAATAACTGATGACAGTATAGATGATTCTGCCTCGGATTCGTCACTCCACACACCATCCGCCATGAACCGGCGTTATAGTGATCAAGTCAGCGACATACAGGTGGATAACATTGGAGACGTCGTCAAGTTACTGGAGAATGGGCCTTACATCAGTTGGCGGCAAAAGACCGGCAAGACGTCGTTTGCATGGTCGGTGGCCAGCGGGCAGACCGAGGTGGTGAAGGTGTTTCTGTTGGTGCCCGGGTTGGACGTGAACGAGCGGGACGAGCAAGGCCACACACCTCTCATGGCAGCAGCACGAAATGGTCACGCAGACGTTATTAAGCTTTTACTGTTGCACGATAATGTCAAGATCAACTGCACGGACTGGCGTGGCCGCACGGCACTCATGATTGCCGCCGAATTTGGCCAGCTTCGTGCCTTGGTCATCCTCCTTAAGTGCCCGGAAGTGAACATCAACCAGACAGACGATGACGGCCACACAGCGCTTACTATCGCCGTCATTGCTGGCATGTTTGAGATCACAAATGCCCTTCTGCGGCATCCATCCATCGATGTCAATATCACTGCTACAGACAAGTGCAGTGCGTTATTGTTCGCCGTTCGTGCAGGACATAACGAAGTGACTGAACTTTTGATAGGATTCAAAAGCACAAACATTAACCTAGCAGACGACTGTGAAGAAACTGCACTTCACGTGGCGGCCGGCCATCACGGCAACAGTTTCGTGACGCGCCTTCTCCTTCAACACCCTTATGTTGGTGTCAATCGCTGTAATATTCAGGGTTGCACCGCCCTAATACTCGCAGCCAAAAACGGCCACCTCGACTGTGTTAAACTACTGATGGAGCATCCTCTCATTGACGTGAACCAGCGAGACAAGGATGGGAAGACGGCTCTCGTATACGCCTGCATGATGGGCAGAGAAGACATTGTATGTCTTTTGTTTTCTCATCCAGATGTTGATCCAAACATTAGGTGTAATGAGAAAGGCATGTCAGCACTGCTGCTGGCCGCACGCCATAACCATGGTGGGGTGGTGGGCCTACTGTGTGCTCGCAACAACATCGATGTAAACCAAGTAGACGAGTTTCGGGCATCGGCGCTGATGCACTCAGTAAGACGCGGGTCTCGGCCCTCTGTGCAGGCGCTTCTCGACCGAAACGACATTGACATCAACATTCCTGATGCTGAGGGCAAGACGCCCCTCATCCGGGCGCTAGCATCCAATCACTATGATCTGGCGATGCTGTTGCTGGCGCGCCCTGACGTCAATGTCAATGCCCAGACGCTAGAGTCTAAAACAGCCCTCATGTACGCTGCCATATACCCAGAGGGCCTCCCAGCGCTCAAACTCCTGCTGGCCAACAAGAACATCGAGGTAGGTCACTAAGCGTACATGTTCGGCAAACAATAATTTATATTTAGCTTCAGTCATGGTGGACTATCTTCTTTACTTGTGTTCTATTATATTGATCAAAACTGTATACGAGTAAATACCAAAAATTGGCCATCTGGTTGTCAGGTGAACACCACAGATGAGCGGACATGCACGGCGCTGCTGCACGCCTGCAAGAGTGGCAACGTGGAGGCGGCGTTGGCTCTGGTGGAGACAGACGGCGTGGACCTTGAGGTGCGGGATGACCAGGGCATGACGGCGCTCATGTGGGCCGCCATGCTAGGCTTCCGCGTCATCGTCACTGCGCTCCTGCAGGTACTGTTGCTCACACAGTAACACACACGGGTCAAGCTTGCACTCACACGCAGACACACGGACGCACCTCTACACTCACACGCAGACACACGGACGCACCTCTACACTCACACGCAGACACACGGACGCACCTCTACACTCACACGCAGACACACGGACGCACCTCTACACTCACACACACATATACACGGACGCTCACTAACATTGTCACAAACAGACGCACGCTTACACAGACACACTATACCACAGCCCACTACCTATACCATGTAACATTCTCACGTGGCCCTCTACGTTCCGTCGAAGGTCCGGACGATGGAGGTAAACGCACTGACGCCGGACGGGTTGTCTGCTTTGGGCCTGGCGTGTGAGGCGGGGCAGGTGGAGGTGGTGCAGCTCCTGGCCTCCCAACCCACCGTCGACGTTAACGCTGGCGACACTGCTGGCCGGACCCCGCTAGTAGCTGCCCTCGAGGTATTGCACACGTGTGTGTGGATGTCTCATTAACGCCGTTATCATCATCATCATTGCCGAAAATTGGCGAGACTACGTGTACAAAAACCATTTTTTTTTAATTTCTCACATTTAGGTGTTTTATTTCTATTTGAATTATTATAATGTTCATAACACCCATGCCTCAGCCTTCTATACCATTCCCCACCCTTCTATATAATTCCCTAACCTTCTATACAATTCCTCATCCTTCTGTACCATACCCGACTCTTCTATACCACTTTTCAGCCTTCTATATCGTTACCCATTATTATTATTATTATTATTATTATTATTATTATTATTATTATTATTATTATTATTATTATTATTATTATTATTATTATTCTAAATGCTTTAACAATATTCAGGTGTTTATTTATTGAAAAATGAAAGGCAAAGGCTATTAATTAAGGCTTTTGATAAGAGGAGTAAGGCAGAGGATACCCTCCCCCCCCCCCCCCTCTTGCACCTCGGAACCCAGCAAACGTTTGCAGTGACAAACGTTTGTAGTGACAAACGTTCTAGTATTGACGGTTTTAGTACTTGGCAAGTTTCTTATTATCCTTAAATAAATAGTATACTCTATAACAGTAAGTCGCCATAAGTTTATTACTGATTAAGAGCTAAACTATATAGATTATTTTGACCCGAATAGCTTACTAATATATACAGTATATACTGTACATGCCATTCAAACAATTACACTGGACAAAATAGTTTTTCGTGGGTAGTAAGTGCTTTTATCTCCAAAGTATAGTAAATTTATATTTATATTTAATTTTATTTATTTATATACAAGAATGTACATTGGGTTTGTGAGAATACATAGCATAATATTTACAATCTGGCTATGGCTATTTAAATGGCTATTATTCTCCTCAAAATATGCTGTAACCTAAGACCACTTTACCTATAGTACTAAATGGTGTGTGTGTGTGTGTGTGTGACAGAGGGCCCAGCACGAGTGCGTGAGGGTGCTGCTCCAACACCCAGCCCACTCCCTCTCCCGAGCGGGGGTGAGGCCGCCCTACCTCCCGCCCACCCTCAAGGCCATGGTCAACCTCTACAGGAAGAACAGCCAGGTGAGTGCTGCCGCTGCGGGCCACCGCTACCAGACAGGAGTAGACGGGCCGGGGATACTACAAGGGGGGTTTCCCTTTATTTATTGCAATCGTTTTAATATCAATTTACGAGAAGGTTGTTATATCGTGGGGTGTGGTGAAGCGGTCCCCTCCCAGGTTCATGGGGTGTGATGAAGCGGTCCCCTCCCAGGTTCATGGGGTGTGGTGAAGCGGTCCCCTCCCAGGTTCATGGGGTGTGGTGAAGCGGTCCCCTCCCAGGTTCATGGGGTGTGGTGAAGCGGTCCCCTCCCAGGTTCATGGGGTGTGGTGAAGCGGTCCCCTCCCAGGTTCATGGGGTGTGGTGAAGCGGTCCCCTCCCAGGTTCATGGGGTGTGGTGAAGCGGTCCCCTCCCAGGTTCATGGGGTGTGGTGAAGCGGTCCCCTCCCAGGTTCGTGGGGTGTGGTGAAGCGGTCCCCTCCCAGGTTCATGGGGTGTGGTGAAGCGGTCCCCTCCCAGGTTCATGGGGTGTGGTGAAGCGGTCCCCTCCCAGGTTCGTGGGGTGTGGTGAAGCGGTCCCCTCCCAGGTTCATGGGGTGTGATGAAGCGGTCCCTCCCAGGTTCGATGGGTGTGGTGAAGCGGTCCCCTCCCAGGTTCGAAGGGTGTAGTGAAGCGGTCGCTCCCAGGTTCGACGGGTGTAGTGAAGCGGTCCCTCCCAGGTTCGAAGGGTGTAGTGAAGCGGTCCCTCCCAGGTTCGAAGGGTGTGGTGAAGCGGTCCCCTCCCAGGTTCGACGGGGTGTAGTGAAGCGGTCCCTCCCAGGTTCGAGGGGTGTAGTGAAACCACATTCAGGTCTTGCAAAGCGATCGGCAGGAACGAACGCCACACATAACCAGAATACTGGCAAAGGCTTTTCAATACATACACGTTTAAATACAATACTTTGCATGTAGGGCATAACAATATACATAGATTATCAATACGAACCGAAGGACTCAGACAATGAGATTGATAACTATACTGACTTAGGAGAAGTAGATATTTTGAGATGTATTTTGATATAATGATAGTTTATAGACAGACTGATGGGAAAATAGATGGGTAGATAGCCTGATGGAATATAGATGGATAAAGAAACTGACAAATGTAGAGAGGGACAGGTTCTCAGATCAGCCCATTCTCTTGATTTGCACTCCGTCAAAAATCCAACCTTTTAACCTTAATTAGAAAAGTATACACACCCAAGCAACCCACCTAACCTATCGATTCCGACGCACACAAAAAAATTAAATATATGCGAGTCGTTACTTTTGTTAATAAAGTGCATTTGTAACGTTGATTACGATAACGTAAAAAACGCGACCTATTATTTGAGAGGACGGGTTGCTCAAACAAATAAGAATATATACAAAGAAATGATGACCAGACCACACACTAGAAATTGAAGAGACGACGACGTTTCGGTCCGTCCTGGACCATTCTCAAGTCGATTGTGTCACAATCAAGTTACAATCGACTTGAGAATGGTCCAGGACGGACCGAAACGTCGTCGTCTCTTCAATTTCTAGTGTGTGGTCTGGTCATCATACTTCAGCCACGTTATTGTGACTCATCGCCTGCATACACAGAAATATAATAACAGACACGTGAAATTGAGCAGCTCGTAAGTAGTTGATAATATAAACAACGTTGTAAGTTATTTTTACACACATTATTATAGTTGCTATACGTAGTTACAATACTACGTCACAAGTATACATGTACTGTAGTCTCCCCTGCTGTTGTACACTGTTGGGTGTGGGGTGGATGGTTGACATTATCTAGTATATGTAGATTGATGACGAGTGCCCGAAACGCTATGTGTACTAGTGGCTTTAGGTATTGTATGTACTACCTCTATCTTTAATTCTCAGAATGTTTGGTAATATGTTTATTGTTTGTGATGTGTGTGTATGTATGTATGTATGTATTAACACGATGTACTGAACGGGGTGAGAATAGCTTGAGCTACCTCATCTCTTTGTGTGTATTTTACCTCAATAAACTTATTTCAATTTCAATTTCTATCTTTAAATCAAACAATGTTTGTACTGTAACTCTGCAACTATGTACGTACTTTCCTAAATAAATTATTATTATTATTATTATTATTATTATTATTATTATTATTATTATTATTATTATTATTATTATTATTATTACTTGAGTGACGGTGTGGGGGTGCGGCAGGTGCGTCATGCGCTGGTGCTGAGTGCGCCGCCGCCCTCGCTGGTGATGGACGGCGTGGGACGCGCAGGGGACGCATGCGTGGCGGGGGGCGGGGAACTGGCCTCCGTCCTCCTCTCACTACCCAGGCCCTTCCAGGTGAGCTGACCCTATCCCCTAATGCTCCTACTAGTTACCATTTGTCACAACACTGCTTACTGATCCTACTATTATTACTCCTATTTATGCTTGCTATATTTATGCTCATTACTACGACTATCACCTCGCTACATGGCTAGCACCTTTTTGGTCAATAGAGAGAAGACAAAGTGTGTGTTTCATCTTACCAGAATGAAACCTTTCCTTTCTGGTTACCTATAACCACTAACTCATAATCTCTAACGAGCTCCTCGAAATCTCCAGCAGGTAGGTAGGTTGGCCTAATATACACTGTATTAGTGTATATTAGGCCTACCTAATATACACTAATATAGTACCTATTAGTGTATATTAGGGTGGGGAGGGAAATGGTTATTTAAATGGTAAATTAATTATTAGCATCCTCCCTAATTCCTGACCGTTCAAGTGCCTGGGCACCATTCTCCCCCGCCCCCCCCCCCACCCCGTCCAATCCCAAACCCTTATCCTGATCCCTTTTAAGTGCTATATAGTCGTAATGGCTTGGCAATTTCCCTTCATAATTCCCTCCCTCTCCCCCCCCCCCTTAACCTAAGCGATCGTAGTGCTAAATAAGCAATCTCAAGTAATCATTTATACATAATCTAATACATGTATGTACATGTATAGACACGTACTAGACCTGTACAAATGTAGGATTTGTTATGGCCATTCTTGGACGTTTTGCAGTATTAATGGTACTAAACATGAACTATTTTGGATACAATGGTCCAACTTTTGTTCAGTCCAATAATAGTAGCTGTAGGTACTTTAAGTTTTGGAGGACATGTTGGGACATATATACACGGAGAGTTTACTTTTGTACTGGACTTTTATGCTCACGACAAAAACATATGTGCTGATTGGTCAGTAAATAATTGTCGTGGCCTTAACAGCCCTCCAGAAGCCTTAAGCCCAACACCAAAACAAGCTAAGGGTATTGTGCTTATTTATTATCAAGATAATTGACGACCAAACTACACATCAGAAGATGGAGTAACGACTACGTTACGGTCCGTCCTGGACCGCTATCAAGTCGTATGTGATAATGGTTCAAGACGGACCGAAACGTCGTCGTCTCCTCATCTTCTGATGAGTAGTCTGGTCATCATATCTTCAGCCACGTTATTGTGACTCATCATCTGCATGAAGATAGTTCATGACAGTTAATAAGTCTATTATGTAAATCCTACATGACTTGGTTCCCACAGTGTCAGGTATGCTGCAACAATGCCTGTTTGTGTATGGTAATTATTGACTGTATGTGTGTGTGTTAGGTGGTCCAGCACGTGCTGCGGCGGGCCACAACACAGTCCCTCTCCGAGCACGTCGGAGACTTCGCCGCCAAGCTGGACCCTGACGAGGACGGAGCCGTCGTCCTCTACATCAGCGGAGAGGTCAGTAACCTACACTAACAATAACAATAACAATAATACACACACAAATCACACTAACGTGATATATATCAATGAGGAAATCCATCTTTCCTGTGAGGTGGCGCAAACCTACCTGGTTCTCTGGTGGATTTTCTCAATAACAATAATAGTAATTTTATTGTAAACAAAAGTATTCATTAGATAATGTTAGATATAACCTAAGTAATACTGTGAAGGGCGTACGGTGATATCGTTCAAAGTAATACCTCTGAATAGGTCTGTGATGGGTCTCGGTAGTACAGTGCCTACGTTCTCGACTCATAACTAAGAATCTCGGATTCGATCCCCGAGCGGCACAGAAATGGTTGGGCACGTTTGCTTTCACCTAGTAGTAAATAGGTACACAAGATTTAGCCAATTGCTGCCGGGTTGCATCCTGGGGAGGGTCAGTAGTTCGCCCTTGGGGCGACCTCGATACGAGCCTAAAGTAGGTATATACACAGCCTTCCTATCACCTACAAAACGAATTAATGATTAAATTATAACAGATAACTGCATTAAATATACAGATTCTGGATAATGGGGAGTAGCTAGTATACCTAATCATGAGATGCTTCGAGGGGGTGTTCAGTGTGGTTTACTAAGGTGGATCAGGGGGCGCGTTCGGGTATCTCACAGTAGGAAATGTGTCTTGTCAGGTTTTCGTTAGTTATTTTATGGAGTTTTCCCAGTGGCGTGCAAGTACACTTTTGTTTTCCGTCTCTAGCAAAGCACTGCTTAGTCACTCCTTTGTTATGGAGACGGGCTTGACGCAGTCTGTAGGAACAGGTCTGTCTCTCAAGCATTTGTTTACACAACGAAGCGGTTTCAATGACAACTATTTTCTAGAACAATTATTCAATTAAAGGAAAACTCTGCTATTTGGATAGGTTATATAAGGGTAAACCGTGAAAAAACAGATGAAAACTGTACATTGGAGTGACCCAGAGAGGTAGAAGATGGAATATATTTAGTGTGAGAAGTCTTGAGCAAGTGGAACTCGCTGTAGGACAGGAGGTGATGGAAACGTATTCTACAGGCAAGGTACAGGCAGGGCCAGAATCAGACTTAAGATAAAAAAAACTACATTATAGGGCTTCACAGTCTCCAGGGACTCAAAATCTCTTAATTTTTAAATTTGTTAGTTTAATTTTCTGGCAATTGCAAGTTTACAAGTGTATTTTACACATAAATTAAATGCATTCAGTTATTCAAGACTGGGAATGAGTTTCCAGCATTATTTTCCTATTATTAAATGTCTTGATAAAAGTAGAAATAAAAAAATGCCTTAAATTTAAGGCAATTATTTAAAGTTGTAAAGAAGAAATCCTTCCTCCTCTTCCCCGCATCTTGGAGACTTCCTTGGGAAGTTGAATTGTTACACAATCTTATTACCAGTTAATAACTGCCAAATAGAACTTCTACAGCTTAGGGCCTCTCCATGTCCACATCCACCAGCGTACAGAGATACAAGGTAGACGTCACAAAAGTCTTGTTTAGGTAGTTAGTACGCCAGTCAATTGTTGGATAACATCCAGGTATCAGGATTTTTTAACCGTGCTCTGCAAACACAATTACACGGTAGACATCTCCCGTCATGCAGGGTGCAGCCGCACCTCCACAGATCTCAAGTATCATCTATTGATACTGGTAATGGCTCAAAAGGGCCACCACTTACGGGGTATTCGTGCCCGTGCCACCTTTAGGGTGGCTTAATCTTCATCAATCAGTCAACACAATTAGTTGAGTACGCCTACAACAAATGAGTTGATCGAGAGAGATTATGACGTTGTTACAGGTGTTGGTGACTCCAGAGGGCCCCGCCCTGAGCCTGCCCTCCGCTCACTCCGCCCCCACCAACGTCCTCCTCGACTCCATGGTGCGCGCCCTCGCCGCTACGCCCACACTGGTGCTGATCGTTGATGCCGTGAGCGTGCGGGCGGACGGCATGGCGTGCGAGTCTGCCATGGTCAACACCCTGGCCCACATCCTGCCTCCCCTCGTCCACCCCAACATGGCCATCCTGGGAGGGGTCTCCATGGAGCGCCTGCAGGTGGGTCCTGAGCCATGCTCGCTACCCTGGTGCTCGTCCAAGGTGAAAGCTAGATCACTTTGCAGCCAAAAGATCCCGGGTTCAATTGTCGCGGTAGGACAGAAGCTTTTGGACACATTTGTATTCACCTGATAATCCTGTTCACCTAGCAGTATATTGGTATCCATGAGTTAGGCCTCTGTTGTGGATTGCATCCCGGGGGAAGATCAGTAGCTGGCCCAGGGGGGAGGATATTGATAAGCCAAACAGGCTTCGTGTCCACGATTATAGGGAACCATAATTAGAGGATCTCAGTAGTCAGTTGGGTTCATTCCCGACTCACAACCGGGAATCCCGGGTATGACAGAAACGGTTGGGTACGTTTTCATTCACCTAATCCCTTTGTTGGGAAAACTTAGATACAAGCCTAACGTATATATCTATATACACAGACTGCCTGTCCCCGACAAAACGGAAACGAATTTTTACGATGTCGGGGTTACATGTAGTCTTACAGTAGTACCCCCATGAAGACTGGGATATCCATGCTCTAGCATGGTTTTCTCTAGACTTTCAAGGGAGACTGCTCGACAGTGTTCGTGAAACCTTTTATTATTCATTGGCACAAGTGTTTTACCTGAGGTGCCACTAACAGGAAGCCACTCGACGAGGACAGGGAGCCGGCGACTTGTCAAAGGTTCCCCATTTGCTATGAAGATCTTTTCCAGTTGGATTTTAAAATTGAACAGAGCTTTGGCATTTACGGCTTCGGCGGGTAGGGCGGTGTTATCTGTGGTTTTCACTTTAAAAAAATAAAAATTTTTAAACTGATTTCCTGATACATTTATTGACTGCGGTATCACATATTGCGCTAAACTTAGTGTACACTTTGCACAGCATGGACAAATGCCTTGCTGTGCATGCCTAGCTCGGCACAGCTACCGCATGTGCAGCCTCCCTGTGCAAACTGAATATCAAATAGAATAGAATACATTAGTTTTGAAAATTATACAATAAGATATTTTAATACATATTTGACAAGTAAGTGGATAATTACCTGAACCGACATTACAAAATTCTTTATATGAACCAATTTGTAAGTTGAACAAATTAAATTAAACTGAAGAACGCATTATAATAATGCTAATACACATACTAAAAGAATAGGGGTGGTAGGAGAAGAAAATATTAAAGTGTTCAGTGAGGATCCACAAGGTCTTTTCTGAGTACTCTTTATTTTCTCCTCCGAGGCTATGGGTCCCTACACTTGCACCAGAGGTGGTACCCCCAATATCACATAACTGTTACACACAAAAATCACAATAACGTGATGCATCAAATGAACAAATAATAAGGCAGCGTCTGGAATGCTCTTGGACGCAGGTTCGAATCCTCGTCACGGCCCTTGTGGATTTGTTCACATAACTGTAATATATTAGAGCTTGTTTAGAATATTTCCCCCCCCCCCCCCCCCAAGTAACTGAAGTAAAACGCCCGAATGCCCGAAACGCCCGAAACGATGCCCGAAAGATGCCCGAAACGCTTTGCGTAATAGTGGCTTTAGGCATTGTATGTACTAGCTATACCTATAAGTTAAACAATCCTTGTAAATATTTATTGTATGTATGTACCTTACCTAAATAAAAAAAAAATAAAAAAAAAAAATAAAAAAAATAAAGTATGAATTTGTACGTTCCGTCTCGGCAGATGGTTGGGTCGCGATGTTCGTCCTTCAGCGGCGTGGTGGCGCGGGAGATCCTCCATGGCGTCAGTCTCCCTCAGCTCCACCGCAGGATCAACCAAGCCCTTTCCCGCGCCCCCAGCTCTCCCGTCCCCACCGCTACGCCCCCGCCCGCCACCTTCGTCTCCAACATGACCCACGACTGGCTCTTCTGAGGCCGAGGACCCATCAATGCTCTCTGCATTCACGGAAACTTTTTTGTTTTTTCTGTTTCGTCCGGCCCGGGTGACCTTCAGGTGATGTGAGCCATGGACGTGAGGCAAGGAGAGGCCCCATGGTAGAGTGGTGTGTGGTGATGAATGGTGACCCCAGGGTGGTGTGTGGTGATGATTGGTGACCCCAGGGTGGTGTGTGGTGACCCCAGGGTGGTGTGTGGTGATGAATGGTGACCCCAGGGTGGTGTGTGGTGATGATTGGTGACCCCAGGGTGGTGTGTGGTGATGATTGGTGACCCCAGGGTGGTGTATGGTGATGAATGGTGACCCCAGGGTGGTGTGTGGTGATGAATGGTGACCCCAGGGTGGTGTGTGGTGATGAATGGTGACCCCAGGGTGGTGTGTGGTGATGAATGGTGACCCCAGGGTGGTGTGTGGTGATGAATGGTGACCCCAGGGTGGTGTGTGGTGATGAATGGTGACCCCAGGGTGGTGTATGGTGATGAATGGTGACCCCAGGGTGGTGTGTGGTGATGAATGGTGACCCCAGAGTGGTGTATGGTGACCCCAGGGTGGTGTGTTGTGATGAATGGTGACCTCAGTGTGGTGTATGGTGATGAATGGGGACCCCAGAGAGGTATATGGTGATGAATGGGGACCCCAGAGTGGTGTGTTGTGATGAATGGTGACCTCAGAGTGATGTATGGTGACCCCAGTGATGTAGGGTGACCCCAGAGTGATGTATGGTGACCCCAGAGTGATGTATGATGATAGTGAAACAGCGGGGATGGGTGAAGCTGTATAAGGCGTTGAAATTCTCAAGCAGCACCAGCAAAAGCTGGGTCCTCCAGCTCCAGAAACATGTACTGGGACACCCAATACAGCAGGTGCTAAGGTCCAAAGCTGTTCGGGAAAGTGCTCAGGGCCGTCAATATCTGCCCAAGCCAGTGCTGGGGCCCAGGAGCTGTACCAACACATGCTGCGGCCCCCTAGCTGAATCAGCAAGTGGAGGGGCCCCCAGCCGCACGTGCTGAGGGACCTTAGCAGCAACAGCGCGGGTGTTGTTCCCGACAACTCATAAATACATTCCATTGTCTCCGCGTTTCCGGTGTTTATATTGTTTTGATATTGAAGTAAATTTTTTACGTGTGACGCAAACTTGTAATATTTTGTTAACTATATTTGTGTTAACAGGGGGACTTGCGTTTTATATATGTATTTTGTATTGTATTTTAATCGCCTCTGTTTACTGATATTATATATATATATATATATATATATATATATATATATATATATATATATATATATATATATATATATATATATATATATATATATATAATCACCTCGCGCATCATATAAGGAACACAGAGTTAATGTCCAGGGGGCTGGACAATTATTACATATAGTACTGTACAGTATGGACAATTTAGCAATAAAAATATGTTGAGTAATGATTGATTTTATTAATACTGGGCGTGGTGTCTCATGTGTGAACAATGTTCCACTTTATATAAATGTTAGTAATTCAAAATGTGTCACAGAATGTAAATTTGTCGACGTTCTCGCTTCATGCAGGTCGGCGTTCAATCCCCGACCGTCCAAGTGGTTGGGCACCATTCCTTTCCTCCCCATGCCAATCTCGTATCCTTATCCTGACCCCTTCTCAGTGCTATATAGTCGTAATGGCTTGGTGCTTTCCTCTGATAACTTCCTCCCTCCAGGTAACGTCATAGATATCTTGCATCATTGCAGCAGCAAACACACCTTCGCTTATTGGTCATCCTTCTGACCTTATCGTGAACGCCTCCACTCATTGGTCGTGATGTGACGTCATCAACTGGCTTCACCAGCGTCCGTTAAACGTCCGTTTAACGCTACTTATCTCGTACATACATAAGAGATGTACTGTAATGTACGTCAAGAGACGTACTGTAAAGTACGTCTAGAGACGTACTTTATGGTTAATATATTGAGGGATTTAACACGTTACACCAGAAGTTTGATAGTTGATGAATACAAGTCGGAGATAAGGTAATATGAAGATATTAAATCCTTTGTTATATAATACTGGGGGTAGTAGAGGTGGTCGTGGGAGTAGTAGTAGTGGTAGTGGTAGTAGTAGTGGTGGTAGTGGTAGTATTGATAGTAGCATCATCATAATTATCATTAATGGTAGAATAAGTCCTGATAAGAGGCTTTTGGGTCCAAAAAACTGGCGGTAGAGCTGATCATGAGTTACGGTAGGTCTTAGAAAGTCCATAGATTTGCTTAATCTTGTGAGGAGTATGAACTGTGGTGTCCTTGATGGTACTGGATGGTAGTGTTGTGGTAAGTGACCATGGTTGGGATCTAAGACTTCTGTCAGTCGTTGCCAGAAGGAGAAGATTGAAGAAGGTCTACACACACACACACACACACACACACACACACACACACACACACACACACACACACACACACACACACAAAGTGATGGGCTTAGGAAGTGATGTGGTGGAGGCTGACTCCATACACAGTTTCAAATGTAGATATGATAGAGCCCAATAGGCTCAGGAATCTGTACACCAGTTGATTGACAGTTGAGAGGCGGGACCAAAGAGCCAAAGCTCAACCCCCGCAAGCACAATTAGGTGAGTACACACACACACACACACGTCCTACGGAATTACTTACAGGTAACGAGTCAGAATATCATGGCTGAGGACAAGTTACCCAACACACGGATGAACTGGAAGTAAGGAGTTTTTTTGGTCCGTCTTGGAGACTTAGCCAGTCGTGACGACAAGAATGGGAGAGATATATGAGTCTCGTTCTTTCTTATTGCGGCATAATAAGAGGATGCTGGCTTAGAGCCACGTCACGCAGGTGTAGAGGAAGACACGTTCACGTCTGGTTTACTTCACTCCTCAGTGTACCAGTACGACACGCCCCTCTGTGTCCCTTATTCCTATGCTGTTGTTCAAAATATTTCCCCTGAGCCTATGTTGTCCCTCGTTGTTTCTCCCTGCCATGTTGTTCTTCGTTGCCATGTTGTTCCTCCTTGCCATGTTGTTCTTCGCTGCCATGTTGTTCCTACCTGCCATGTTGTTCTTCGTTGCCATGTTGTTCCTCCTTGCCATGTTGTTCTTCGCTGCCATGTTGTTCCTACCTGCCATGTTGTTCTTCGTTGCCATGTTGTTCCTCCTTGCCATGTTGTTCTTCGTTGCCATGTTGTTCCTCCTTGCCATGTTGTTCCTCCTTGCCATGTTGTTCTTCGTTGCCATGTTGTTCCTCCTTGCCATGTTGTTCCTCCTTGCCATGTTGTTCTTCGTTGCCATGTTGTTCCTCCTTGCCATGTTGTTCCTCCTTGCCATGTTGTTCTTCGCTGCCATGTTGTTCCTCCCTGCCATGTTGTTCCTCCCTGCCATGTTGTTCTTCGCTGCCATGTTGTTCCTCCCTGCCATGTTGTTCTTCGCTGCCATGTTGTTCCTCGCTGCCATGTTGTTCCTCCCTGCCATGTTGTTCCTCCCTGCCATGTTGTTCCTCCTTGCCATGTTGTTCCTCCCTGCCATGTTGTTCCTCGTTGCCATGTTGTTCTTCGCTGCCATGTTGTTCCTCCTTGCCATGTTGTTCCTCCCTGCCATGTTGTTCCTCGTTGCCATGTTGTTCCTCCCTGCCATGTTGTTCTTCGCTGCCATGTTGTTCCTCGCTGCCATGTTGTTCCTCCCTGCCATGTTGTTCTTCGCTGCCATGTTGTTCCTCCTTGCCATGTTGTTCCTCCTTGCCATGTTGTTCCTCGTTGCCATGTTGTTCCTCCCTGCCATGTTGTTCTTCGCTGCCATGTTGTTCCTCCCTGCCATGTTGTTCCTCCCTGCCATGTTGTTCTTCGCTGCCATGTTGTTCCTCCCTGCCATGTTGTTCTTCGCTGCCATGTTGTTCCTCGCTGCCATGTTGTTCCTCCCTGCCATGTTGTTCTTCGCTGCCATGTTGTTCCTCCCTGCCATGTTGTTCTTCGCTGCCATGTTGTTCCTCCCTGCCATGTTGTTCTTCGCTGCCATGTTGTTCCTCGCTGCCATGTTGTTCCTCCCTGCCATGTTGTTCCTCCCTGCCATGTTGTTCCTCCCTGCCATGTTGTTCCTCCCTGCCATGTTGTTCCTCCCTGCCATGTTGTTCCTCCCTGCCATGTTGTTCCTCCCTGCCATGTTGTTCTTCGCTGCCATGTTGTTCCTCCTTGCCATGTTGTTCCTCGTTGCCATGTTGTTCCTCCCTGCCATGTTGTTCCTCCCTGCCATGTTGTTCTTCGTTGCCATGTTGTTCCTCGCTGCCATGTTGTTCCTCCTTGCCATGTTGTTCTTCGTTGCCATGTTGTTCTTCGTTGCCATGTTGTTCCTCCTTGCCATGTTGTTCTTCGTTGCCATGTTGTTCTTCGTTGCCATGTTGTTCCTCCCTGCCATGTTGTTCCTCCCTGCCATGTTGTTCTTCGGTGCCATGTTGTTCCTCCCTGCCATGTTGTTCCTCCCTGCCATGTTGTTCTTCGCTGCCATGTTGTTCCTCCCTGCCATGTTGTTCCTCCCTGCCATGTTGTTCTTCGTTGCCATGTTGTTCTTCGCTGCCATGTTGTTCCTCCCTGCCATGTTGTTCTTCGTTGCCATGTTGTTCTTCGCTGCCATGTTGTTCCTCCTTGCCATGTTGTTCCTCCTTGCCATGTTGTTCTTCGTTGCCATGTTGTTCCTCCCTGCCATGTTGTTCTTCGCTGCCATGTTGTTCCTACCTGCCATGTTGTTCTTCGTTGCCATGTTGTTCTTCGTTGCCATGTTGTTCTTCGCTGCCATGTTGTTCCTCCCTGCCATGTTGTTCCTCCCTGCCATGTTGTTCCTCCCTGCCATGTTGTTCTTCGTTGCCATGTTGTTCTTCGCTGCCATGTTGTTCCTCCTTGCCATGTTGTTCCTCGTTGCCATGTTGTTCCTCCCTGCCATGTTGTTCCTCCCTGCCATGTTGTTCTTCGTTGCCATGTTGTTCCTCGCTGCCATGTTGTTCCTCCCTGCCATGTTGTTCCTCCCTGCCATGTTGTTCCTCCCTGCCATGTTGTTCTTCGTTGCCATGTTGTTCCTCGCTGCCATGTTGTTCCTCGCTGCCATGTTGTTCCTCCCTGCCATGTTGTTCCTCCCTGCCATGTTGTTCTTCGCTGCCATGTTGTTCCTACCTGCCATGTTGTTCTTCGTTGCCATGTTGTTCTTCGTTGCCATGTTGTTCTTCGCTGCCATGTTGTTCCTCCCTGCCATGTTGTTCCTCCCTGCCATGTTGTTCTTCGTTGCCATGTTGTTCCTCGCTGCCATGTTGTTCCTCCCTGCCATGTTGTTCCTCCCTGCCATGTTGTTCTTCGGTGCCATGTTGTTCCTCCCTGCCATGTTGTTCCTCCCTGCCATGTTGTTCTTCGCTGCCATGTTGTTCCTCCCTGCCATGTTGTTCCTCCCTGCCATGTTGTTCTTCGGTGCCATGTTGTTCCTCCCTGCCATGTTGTTCCTCCCTGCCATGTTGTTCTTCGTTGCCATGTTGTTCCTCCCTGCCATGTTGTTCCTCATATGACCTTTGCCATCAAGAGTTGTTGTTGTTGTTTTAGATTCAGCTACTGGGAACCAAAAGTTCCAAGTAGCACGGGCTATGGCGATCCCGTAGTGGACTTATTTGGCACAGGAGCGGTGCTGTAGCTCTTGTCTCATCATCATCATCAACAGTTGTTGTTGTTTTAGATTCAGCTACTCGGAACTTAAATGTCAATGTAGCATGGGCTATGGCGAGCCCGTAATCATCCCTCATCAAGATTGATTGATTGATGAAGATTAAGCCATCCAAAAGGTGGCACGGGTATGAATAGCCCGTAAGTGGTGGCCCTTTTGAGCCATTACCAATATCGAGAGCTGATACTGGAGATCTGTGGAGGTGCGAATGCACCCTGCATGACGGGAGATGTCTCCTTTGTGAATGTGTTAAGATGAAGATGAAGCCACCCAAAAGGTGGCACGGGCATGAATAGCCCGTAAGTGGTGGCCCTTTTGAGCCATCACCAGTATCAATAAATGATACTGGAGATCTGTGGAGGTGCGACTGCACCCTACGTGACGGGAGATGTCTCCCGTGCCTCATCAAGAGATAAACGTCCTGTAATAAAGAGGTCTGGTGGTGAGGTGACTGGCCCGGATCCGTGCAACAGACTCCACACCACCAACCACTTGGGCTGGACGGTAGAGCGACGGTCTCGCTTCATGCAGGTCGGCGTTCAATCCCCGACCATCCAAGTGGTTGGGGACTATACCTTCCCCACCGTCCCATCCCAAATCCTTATCCTGACCCCTTCCAAGTGTAATATAGTCGTAATTTCTTGGCACTTTCCCATTACGGGCTTACCATAGCCCGTGCTACATGGACATTTCGTTCTGAATAGCTAAATCTAAAACCACAACAACATTTTGATAATTCCTGATAATTCCCTCCGTCCGTCCTCACCCCGGCCGACCGACTCTGGGGAAGGCGTGGGCGATGGGGTGGCGGCCGGGTGGCGGGAAGTGCCGGCTGTGTCACCCGCGTCGTCGTCGTACGCATCACGCATCTGCTTTCCGTTTCCGGAACCACACTTAGCGCGGGCGGTACTCACTGGCGCTAGCCGGCGCCCGGTTATACGCTTTCCTGCAGGAGCCACACCAGCGCCAGGAGCAACACCGCCGCCAGGAGCCACACCGCCGCCAGGAGCCACACCGCCGCCAGGAGCCACACCGCCGCCAGGAGCCACACCGCCGTCACCTGTGCTCGACCTACCATCTTGATTTCTTTTATAAATGTTTTGGGTCTCGTTGGTGCAGTGGCTACGTTCTCGACTCAAAACTGAGGGTACTGGGTACGATCCCGGGACGGAATAGAAATGATTTGGCACGTTTCCTTTTATCTGATGCACCTGTTCACCCAGCAGTAAACCCAGGTGGAGTTACGCATCTGTTGTGGGGGTTGCATCCTTGGGGGAGACCCTTGATGAAGCCTAAAGTATCTTGGTCATTAAAAAAATTGAATTTTATATTTGCTTAATACCAATAGAAATAGGCTTTAAAAGTAAAGGCAAACGAAGCTTAATACTACACACATAGAGAACAACTTACCAAATTTCATTCACTTGGACCATCGGAACCTCGAACTGGAGACCACAAAAGCACCAGTGTGTTGCTCTACCTACTGAGCCACCAGCACCCACTATAATGAAGACACCAGAGACACCAATCTGCTCTCCAACTGGAACTTTAGGCCTTCCCTCGGGTGTCACTGAGGCTTGTAGGTGTCAGGTGACACACGTCTAAGTCATGCATAATATCATGGATAATAACATTTCATTCACTTGGATCATCGTAGCATCAAACCGCGGACCACAAAAGCAGCAGTCTGAGGTTCTAACTACTGAGTCATCTTACCAAACGATATACTTCGGTGTGTATACTCTTTAAAGATGGAATTGATAAGTACTTTTCTTAAAATCCACTCCTTAAATTGTTTGTAATACACTAAGTTTTCCGTAAACAAACAGCCAACAACGTGAAACACTTTGAATAAGCAATTCTGCATGGAACTTGCAATCCTGCACTTGAAAAACACATCAAAATGTAAAAAAAGTATAGATATATGCAAAACGACTTGTTCCTGAGCTAAGGTACTGAACTAAATGGAAATACTGAAGGAGATGAACCTCTCCACATTAGAGGTATTGTGGGGACATGATATAAACATACAAGGTTCTAAGTGGAACCGACAAAGACGACAATGAATGTTCAATATGAGGAACAGCGGAACTAGGCGGTATGGGTGGAAACTAAAAACAAATAAGTCACCAATATAACAGAAAGAACTTTAGAGTAAGATTTGTATATAAATTGTATGCAAATTTTCTGCTATATTGATACATAGTTGTTATATGTTAAGATTTTGGGCATAAAACCTCTGTGTTTGGGTTCTGTTGTGAATTTTTGTTTCAATTTAATCACCCAAACTCTTGGGCTGGACGATAGAGCGACGGTCTCGCTTCATACAGGTCGGTGTTCAATCCCCGACCGTCCACAAATGGTTGTGCACCATTTCTTCCCCCCGTCCCACCCCAAATCCTTATCCTGACCCCCCCCCCTTTTCTAGTACTATATAGTCGTAATGGCTTGGTGCTTTCTTCTGATAACTCCCTCCTCAGGTTATGTTCGCCCAAGCTGTGGCCGACTCGAAAGACGCTTTATAAATGTTAACGCATTTGCTTGAAATTAATTAATATAGATGTATATTATAATTTTGTGTGTATATAAGCCTAAGACAGGTTAGGTTAGGTGTTTTGCTCGTACTGGTAATTATTACCCATAAACAAGGGGTTCGGGAACAGGTTTAATGGCTACTGTAATTATTACTACTTCTACTACTGCTACTATTGCACTTCTACTTCTACCACAACTACTACTATCGCTGCTGAAACTATTGCTACTAACACTCCTACGAGTCATAATATGGGTTCACGTCAGAAGATAAATATTCTCGCAGGATTTTTTTGTCATGACATTTGTCCTTCAGAGACATGAAGAATGGCGTGGTTACAACGGGAGAGGAGAGCGTAATTACCGCCCCTGACGGGGGCCATGCCGGGGCCCTTCTGGGGGCCAGGGCCCTCCTGGGGACCAGGGCCCTCCCGGGGGACACGCCCCGCTGCACAGAACAAAGGATTCAGACGCTCTTTGATATCACCTCACGCAAATATAGCTCATCATGATGACATAACATCATGATGATAACATGATGATGCCTTTCTATCTGCTAAATCTGCGTCTAGATAACCCCCCTTTGTCTCTGTTGTCAAATCTATTTTGATTCAAACACAGAGGCCTGAAAGGAGAGAAATCACATACTCAAAGGTTTAAACCAGCAGTGGGTAAAAAAATTCCGATCCCTGCAGATCTGACGCATATATATGGGCAGCACAAAACGTTCACCGGAATGTGTGACGCTATAATTGCCCGGATTATACGGATGTATAATTATAGGATGAGCCAGGATCAGGTTCAACAACTGTTACCTGTTGCAGGTGGCTGCAAGTGACTGTTTACTCATTCCTCAGAGCAGGAACTGGGGGTCATGATCGAATGGTCAGGAACTAGATCCCTTAAGGACCTTCTACACGACCTACACCTTGTGTGGACCCCCTAGTACTTGTCTAAACACTTGGGTGTCCCTCCTCATTCCACCCCTAGTGTGGACCCCCTTGACCTGTGGGGGGGGGGGGGGGTCCACCCCTTGTGTGGGTTCCTTGTTTTAGTTCCTACTCATGTGAAGCGGTGTTGGTGTATTGTTAAATACATCGTCACTGTATTTGTTGATACAGTATCGATATATAATTGGCATGAGAAAATAACATGTCGTGGTCTAGTGGCTTGAAGCGTGTGCGTGGGAACATCCACTACTCAGGTTCGAACCCTCATCACCGCCCCTACGGATTTTCTCATTGATGCGGTGGCGTTAGTGTGATTTCTCTCTCTCTGTGTATAATTGATATGTTATTCAGATATCACTAATGCATTCATGATGAGTAACACACGACTCATGATGAGTAAGTAACACATCACTGTTATTAAGGTATTAATGAGCTCTTAATACCATCTCGGTGACCTGTTAATTACGTGTTCCTGAAATATTAAGCGATCGCAACATGGAAGCAAATCTATTCGTGACGCATTCATGACGTATTTGTGACGTGGGCG